CTATTCCTAGTTTATTGAGTACTTTTATCAGGCATGGATGTTAGATTTTATCAACTCCTTTTTCTGCATCTATTGAGATGATAATATTGTTTTTTTATTTTAGTTTGTTAAAATGGTAAATTACATTAACTGATGTGTGAATATTAGACCAATTTTGTATTCTGGGATAAACCCTACTTGGTCATGATGTATTTTATATCCTTTTAATATACATATCCTTTATACATATTATATGACTTTTTTCAATATTATTGGGTTTCATTTGCTAAAATTTTATTTAGAATTCCTGTGTCTGTGTTCATGAAAAATATTCATCTGTAGTTTTCTTTTCTTGTAAGAACTTTGGTTTTGATATCAATGTAATTCTTGCCTCATAGCATGAGTCCAATATAATTCACTCCTCTTCAATGTTTTGACAGTTTGTTTACAACTGATATTATTTGTTCCTTACATGTTTAGAAGAATTCACCAATAAAGACTGATTTTTTTTCATGAAAACATTTTAAACTACAAATTCACTTTTAAAAATTGTATATAGGGCTATTCATGTTATCTGTTTCTTCTTGAGTAAGTTCTTGATAGTTTGTGCCCTTCAAGGAATTTGTCTGTTTTCATGAAAATTGTCAAAATATTGTTACTAATAGTCCATTTTAATATCTTTAGAATTTATAGTGATGCCAACTCTGTTATTAATATTAGTATTTGTATCATCTCTTTATTTCCTGATCACTCTGGCTAAAGGCTTATAAATTTTATTGATTTTTCTCCAATATCCAGTTTTGGTTTCATTGATTTCTCTATTGTTTTTCTGACTATTGAATAATAATAAATTATTACATAATTTTTTAGTTATTCCATTCCTGTATCTTAGAACACCTGTATTTTTATCAAATGATTTTTTTTTAATTTACTTTTCAATTAAAGTTGACATAAAATGCTATAGTTTTTTCAGGTGTACAACATAGTGATTAGACATACAAAGTGATCACCCCAATGAGTCTAGTACCCATCTGACATCATACATAGTTATTACTGTTATGTTATTGACTATATTATATATGCTGTGTTTTACATCCCCATGACTACTTTTATATTATCTGATGATCTTTTGAAGGAATATGGGTCATTTTTTCATTTTTACTATTAAATATTTTATATTTATAATATAATATTTGATATGTATGAAAGTCTAAATGTATCTTATTTATAGGTTAAGTATAATCAAATAAACACCTGTGAACTTGGTGGATTACTTCTGTACCTGCCAGATCTCATCTATTCTGATTTTACCCCCACTTTATCTCTTACAGGGTAACTTTTCTTAAAATCATGGAGGGATTTGATTGTTTCTTTCTATGTTCTAATAGTACCTAAGAAAAATTGTTCTCAGTTAATATCAATCAAGTTTGCCTGTTTTTTTAAGCTAACATTCATTGAGTGCTTACAGTGTACAAGGCAATTCTTATTACTGTCCTAATAATCAGATGTTACCATTATCTCTTCTATGGGTAAAGTTTGCTTTAAGCCACGTTCAGCAGAAAATCCAACACTAACTTAAGCACACATGGGTTTATTTTTCTCTCTCAACAAGAAAGTCTGAAGTTAATGCTACAAGACTAGGAAGGCAGAATACAGTGTCACATATAACCTGGTGTCTTATATTAGATTCCCTAGAAGCAGACTCTGAGTTAGGGATTTATCAGCATGTGGTTTACTAAGGAAATATTCCCAAGAAAGACTGCTAAGGAAGTTGGGCAGGGCAGGAATGTAAATAAGAATGTGATCTTCTGCTGAAGTCTAGCAGAGGGTAACTGCAGCATGAACCCTATAGGGGAAAATTTTTTTTTTAATTTTTATTGGATAACTGTGTTTTTTCCAGGACCCATCAACTCCAAGTCAAGTTGTTGTCCTTCAGTCTTAGATGTGGAGGGCACAGCTTAGCTCCAAGCCTAGTGGCCATTTTCAATCTAGTTGGGGGGCGGGGAGGGCACAGACCATCATCCCATGTGGAAATTGAACCAGCAACCTTGTTGTTAGGCGCACAAGTTCTAACCAACTGAGCCATCCGCTGCCCATGGGCAGCTCAGCTCAAGTCGTTGTCTTCAATCTAGTTGTGGAGGGCGCAGCTCACTGGCCCATGTGGGAATTGAACCAGCAGCCTTGTTGTTCAGAGCACACATTCTAATCAACTGAGCCACCTGGCCACCCCAGCCTATAAGGAAATTTTTTTTTAAGATTTTATTGGGGAGTTGGGGTAGGGGTACAGTGTTGGGGAAGGGGAACAGATAAGTTACTGTCCTTTTTGCTCTTCAGTCTAGTTGTGGAGGATGTCGCCCCACTGGCCCATATTGGCATTATCACTGCACTCCTCCTGGGTGAGGCAGCTGCTCACCGGCCATTGGACAGCCGCTCAGGGCGGCTCACCGTAGCTCATGAAAGCTCACGCCTGCTGCCGGCCAGCCCCACTGCAGCCTACACCATTGCTGGCGACTCACGGCAGCCCAGCTCCAGGTCGAGCTGCTGCCCACTATCCTAGCTGTAGAGGGCGCTGGCCTTCATGTGGGATCTGAACCAGGGCCCTGCTGCTCAGAGCTGGCATCCCAAGCCAACTCCCAACCAATGCGCCACTCTGTCGACCCTATAATGGAATTTTTGAGTGAACTTTAAGACAGAGTTATTTCATCCAAGACAAGGAAGCTGGGTTTTCAAAAACTTTGTGAGACTGATGGGAAGAATGCAAACTCACAGAAACTTGAATCTCTCTATGGAAGAGGGCAAATCAGCATCAGTACCGTACAGCAATTCTTGAAAGAAGAGCTACAAGTGCTGGATATTGAAAGCACACAAAAGATGGTGGCGGTGGTGGTGGTGGCGTGGATGTGTAGTACACACAGAAATATTATCAAAGAATCCAGTCTAAAGAAATCCAAGGAGATTTGGGCAGAACACCTATATTGTTCACATCACCAGAGTTCTTCCAACTGTCCCACCTGCCATTTTCAATGTGTAGGTCTTTGTCCCCATGCTCATCACCTCATGGTCAGAAGTTCACTGCTCTACATTCAGCCCTATATCTATAGCCTGATTAGGAAGAAGGGAAGAGGGTGAAAGGCTGAAAAAGGACATGCCAGTTGAATACGTTCCCTATAAAAAAGTTTTTCTCAAGCTGTTGTCTTGCCTATATTTTATTGTCCAGAACAATATCAAATGGTTACTACGTCAACTACATGAGAAAGAGTGTATTTTTAGTAGGCATATTGCTTCCCGGTACAAAACGAGATTCTGTTGGTAAGGAAGTAGGGGCAGTAGTGATGGATATTAGGTAAGCAGCTACAATATGTGGTACTTCCTCATTTTACAGAGGATAAATAGAGATTAAGAGAGGTTATATAATTTGCTGAAGTTGCATAGACTGTAAACAGTAAACTAAGGCTATGTTTTTAATATGCTGGGCAGTGAGTGTTTCATGCATTCTCTTTATGGAGTGTCCTCTGGGCTAGGAATTATAATTGGACTTGAGCAAGTGCTTCATCACCTTGACACCTCAACAGGAAATTGCTCATTCATTCTATCTCTACCAGTTGGCTTTCACTTTCATCTTTTGCATTCATTCCTCAGATTCTTAAGTCCCCTAGCTGCTAAGGGATTTGGAACAGCCAAATTTACTCCTTTTGCCTGAGACCTACGAAAGGAACCTCTTTAACATGACCTTGAGAATGGATATATGAATAGATCAAGGGTGGGTACTAGGGCATGAAGACAGAGAATTCAGTCCTATTTCTTTCCCTAATGAGAAACTCACACTGATCTGTCTCACCTTTGGGCAATTATGTACTGCAGAGTTTATGTTTTAATACATATTGTGCATGTTTTAAGTTCCATGTAGACAAGGAGCATAGCTTAAGTTTTCTTTTGTGCTTTCATGGTGCCTAGCAGAGTTCAGTATACGTGGCATGTATTTAAGGACTAACTGCTAGAAAATAGGATTTCTGGGCTATAAAGGTGATAGTATGAGGGGAGAATGAATTTTGAGACAAGCCTGTCCCAACTCCTAGGGGAGTAACCCAGTTGAAGGTTTTTCTATCTACCATGCAATGGTGGAGGCACCAAGGTTGAAATTGTTAATTTTTTTGGCTTGTTTTGTTCTGTAGATGTGGGGTTATTAATCAATCTTTTTAGACTTTAATCAGCTGTTGCATTCTAATTAAGTTACCAATTTTCTTTCCAAATCCCCCAAATCTCAACTCTCAGTTTTCTTTTCCAATTCTAAGTCACTTATTCAAATAAAATTTTCTTGACAATATCTCAAGGTATTCAATAAATACATAAAAACCTGAAGAATATATATAACAGTAGGGAAAGTAAGTTTTGACATAATTTTCATTTTTGATACATGCACAAATTCCTTCTAGTAATGTGTTTATGGACCATCAAAAGACATTTCCTACTCTAGAATCAGGTAAATAACAAAAGACCACCACACATTTGAATATTTTAATCAAATCATATTGACTATAGTGGTTGTGGAAAGTATTTTTTAAGAAGAGGAAAATGAAACATGGAAAATAGATAGCCAGGTTGAAAGGTATCTAAATAAGGAGTGAGAAGTTTCGGGTTAAAGTTCTAATGCAGGTGCATGTTGGCTATTTGATCTTGGGTTAAAGTCACTGAATACCTCCTGCATGTTGATCACCAAGATGGGCCCTGGGAGTACAAAGGTGAAAAAGACACAATCCCTACTCTGGAAAATCTCACTTAGTTTTGAATCACCAAAAGTATCAGACAAACTACTCCAGATACTAAGATTGGTAGATTAGGATATGCTTACTTTCACTTAAGAATTTCAGAATGTTAAGTCATTTTATGATAAAATCATAATGGCCTTACATACTTTTGAAAAATAGTTTATTCAAGAATATAAACAATGCAATGGATATATTTGGTTACTTAATAATAGTCATTTTAAGTATATCATACAGATGCACATGGTCAACATTTAGTGTTTTTCAAAAGGGATGATATAGATTCTGCTTTTATTTTTGTCTCTATAGTAAAGCTATTGACAAAATAATGAAACAAAGATATATTGTCCAACAATTATTTTCCCCCACACAGTAATTCTCAGCCTCTTTTATCTCATGTTCCACCAGCAATTATAGCCAATAGATCTCAACAAATTAGAAATAAAAAGCCTACATTTTCAGAAAAAGTCATTTCATAAGTGTTCTCTTATGTTTACCATTTATTGTCAGTGTTAAGCCTATGAAAAATTGTAGTAGAAATTGTTAAGGCCTTAAATAAGCAAAATCTATTCCATTAGTAGTTGAAAATGTTATTATGTAGTTGAGTATGAATTTTACTAACAGTAAAATATGAAGATGTTTAATAAAAATATTGCCATCAATAGGTTTATGTAAAATTTTATAACATCAGGTAAACAAAGTAGAATAAAGGTGTTGGCATCCAGATGTCAGGTGACATGCAGCTCAGCTCAGGGTGTGCCAAAGATATATTAAGGACACAGTGGGTCAAAAAAAATGAAGAAAAAACAGAAATCAAATGAATATTTCATAGTGGGGGGGCATTGGTCATTGTGAAGCTGGCCAACAAAAAGACTTGTGCACATGGGAAGAAAGGATTAGAAGAAATTTTGTCCAAGGTGACAAGTATATTAAAAGGCATTGGTTCTTGGAAGCCTGAGTCAGAAGGACATGGTATGCCACAAACATAAGGGATAGCCAGTTACTGAAACTGTAATGTTAATCCTGTGTTCCACCTAGAATCTACTAGGTTAGAGGACTTCTGGCCCCACCATAATACTCGGATGTCCTAACTTATGTTGTTGCTTAGTGTTTGTTCAAAAAATGTTTGTTTGTTAGATATTTCTAATGATGCCAATTCTGTGTCTGAACTAAAATTTATTTCACTTCTTAATGTAAGAGTGCCTTGTTTATAGTTAACTCAGTCTATAGAAATCAGAATTTTAAAAATGAAACAATCAGAGGTAAAATTATTCACTTTACAAGTACTGGATTTATTTTTCTTAATTGTTAAATTATACTTGCCTTTTTCACATATTTATATTACCTGCCTAGCCATGTTGGCACCGGAAGTTTCAGACATCCACAAACATGGTGTTTTATTGCAGTTGTGAAATGGTCAATCTATGTAGCATCTGATTGTGTTTTTACTAGCAGCTCTAGTGTTTCATCCCATTATTTGCAACCAGGGAAAATTATGTCCCTACGTAGCTCTTTAAAATGGATCCTTGTCTAAAATGAAAATAAGGCTCTTGCTTCTCTCCAGAGGTCTCAGCTCTAAATATGAAGTTCTTTCTGGACTGAAAGTAGCAAAAAGTAAAGGCCTGTATCTCTTCAGAATGTTCGTGGGTCTCTTTACCAATACCATATGTAATACACTAATACTTGTATTGAGTATACAGAGGCAAATAAAGAAAAGAACTGGAGGATTGCAAAAAGTATTTTTATACATAATGAGGAAAATATTCCACAGTATGCTAAGCATTCTTTATTTCCCTTAAATGTTATCTCTTTCTCTTCTTAAAATTTCTCATCCCTTCTTCAGTGGTAGCTATTTGGGCTACCCAGCCCAGGGCCCACAGCTTTCTATCACATTAAGTTTAAGAGAGCTTAAATATGATACTCTCTCTACTTGAACCCTCAGTTTGGTCCCCTAATTTAATTAGAGCAAGTTGGTTATCCTTTACTCCTATAAACACTCCAGGATTGCTCTTACATTCAAATGAAACCCATTTGGAGGATGAGGGCTCCTTGTGAAGGAGAAAGAAGGTCTGGTCTGGAAACGGGGTTTCACATTTTTGTAGCTGAGGAAACAAAAGAAAAAAACAACCAATATGTGAATGGCAAGTCCAGAGTCAACTTCACATCCCTGTGATAGAAACTAAAGGAGAATAATTATTTATAACTTGGTATTTCTAGCAAGCCTGTTTACTAAGTAGGGGATGGGAGGGGATGGAAGGAGGAAGTGAGTAGAGGGTCAAAGTGGGAGGATTTGATTTAATTCACTGGTAGTATACTTTCAGAGACATTATAACTTAGAATGACTGGATCTGGATGCAACAATTCTAGATTTGTAGTCCTCTTTTGCCCTGTATTGTCTCTGAAATCTGGGCCTTAATATTTTAGTCAAACCAGTTTTCAAGATCAGCCAACCCCCAACTTACCCATACACATATGAGTGATATAAATGATCATTATTTTAAGTCAGTAAACATTGGTATTGGTTTGTTACACAGTATACCTGATCAATACAATAACTCCATCACAGGGTTACTTAGATAATTAGATGAGATGGTGCTTATAAAATATTTAGCACAATGCTTGGTATATAATAGAGCTCAGTATGGATTAGCTCTGATTATTGAGTACTTATATATGCCAAACACTGTTATATACACTTAGAAATGTTAAGGGAGATGCTGGTTACCATCCAGTGTTCATGTCAATACATTACATGGGTGTATGAGTTAGCTTTATAATTTTGTGTATTTATATAATTTATCTTCTATATGATACTCTCATGTTTTCTTCCTTGTCTCCACTTTTGGCTTCTTTGTTCCTCAAGATGTTTCTAATTCTTCATCATGACCAATATAATACTGCCATTTACCAACTGATGAAGACTATGCAGTGAATCCTACGATTAGAGTGTGAATTGTTGTGCTATCTATAAATCTTGGCATATGGAAACGTTGATGACCTTCTCTTTAGCAGACTCAGAGTGTAAAATTAATTTTGAATTTTCCTAGGAAAACTGTATTTTACAAAGAAACTCTTCCTGGGAGAACAGAGTAGTTCCTAAAGCCAAATAGGAAGGATTTGAGATCATTCTACATAGCAGTGCTTCTCAAACTTTAATGTGCATGTGGATCTCCTGGAGATTTGTTAAAGTGCTGATTCTGGTTTAGTTGTGAGGGAGCCTGAAATTCTGCATTTCTAACAAGCTCCCAGGTGATGCTGTACTGCTGGCAGAGACCAGACCTTCAGTAGCAGGCCTGTACAAGCCATTTCTCTCCCTTCCCTGCTCCAGAAGCAAATTACTAGTAACAACTAGTTGTGTTTTATGTACAACAGCACAAACAAAACTACTTCTTAAAAATATCCCAAACACCCAAATCTGCACAAATGAGTGGCATCAATCATGATAGGTGCATATTTCTGTTACCTCCACAGAGTGCTCCTTGTTGTTGGCATGCAGCAAGACATCTTTGTCATTTGTAGGACTCAGGCTTACCATTACTATCTGACCATCAACACCATCACCTTGCATTTAAAAATATATAAATTACAAAGTTAAGAAGTAAAACTCATTGTAATTTAACTCAATTTGACACCCAGGAAAAGTGTCTAAGATGTCATATAAAGTAACTACTTCATTCAGAAATATTTGCACCTGAATGAAACTAAAGAGTCATTGGACAAGTAGGGGATAATTCTAAGTCCCTTGAAGAAGAGAGGTTAGTTTTTTCTATATGCTTTCTAACCGTAGAATTGTGACTCTAATGAGTGTTTCTCAGGGTGTCAGCTTCTCTGTCTGCACGTCAAGCCACTGATAGTTGTCCCTTAATATCCAACTTCTCTTCTTGTATAATCATAGAACATTTCCCAGCCTGCCCTTTTTATTTTTTTGTAGCTAAGTGTATTTTTTGTGACTAAGTTCTGACCAATGTGAGGCAAGTAGAAGTGTCAGATACAAATTCTAGGTTGTGACCTTAAAGGAAAATAGAATTCAAGTAGCCATCTTCCTCTGTCCTGCTAATTGGGCATTGTCATGGTGGCAAGTAATCTTGAACCACATAGGTGTTGACAGAGCCACAAGGAGAGAAGGAGCTGGGTTCCTGGAAAACCTGTTGAACAGAGCTGCCATTCCAGCCCTGACGAAGAAAGTTTTGTGTAGATTAAACCACTTTATTCTGGATCTCTATGAAATGTAGCCAAATCTTTATCCTATTAAGCTTTAAAATGGATGGGGTAGAGTAAATCCTCTAAGAATCTAGGATTTTACTATGAGCTTGGGCTCGAGAATCTTCCAAGACTGCCTTCCTTTCCCAGCGAGGATTTTTGGATTTGTCTTCACCCAAATTTGAGAATTCAAGCATTACAGCTACCCAGACCTCCAAGTTACCTGTTTCACTTGTGGTGATTTGCGAATCATAGTAACGGAATAACACCTTGTCTGAAAGAGAAGGCATAAAATCCCTTGGGTGATTTATCAAAAGGTTTCAGTTCTAACATGCACATGATATCAGGAAATGCCATCTTATTATATATCAATAAAAGCAAAACTTTTATGGTTTTGAGGAAGGACTTAAAAATGTATGAAAATGCTCTGATGAATTCTTAAATACAATTATTAAAATATTTGAAATATTCATATCTCTGGTATATTCTTTCACTAGAGGTTTTACTTTGGTGACATTGATAAGGTTAGAAAGGTCTGGTAGTAATTTAGTGATACCAAATATGTGTGGTCCGCATTCCATCTTTCACAACCGAAACAACTTTTCCATATCAGTGTTCTTCCCTGACAAACCCTGACTAAGCTTCTGAATCCTCCTCAACACAGTGATATTCAGGCACCTATTGCCAATGCATCAGAGTTAGCACACATCATGAAATCTATTTGCCATGCCTGAGTTAATTCATTGTTTATGGTTTAGTAAATTTATTTTTTACTTGTTAGTCATCATTATATGATTATAGACAAAGAAAAATATTCTACCTTTTTTTTGGTTATTTCCCAAATCTTCAACAGAGATCTCATAACCTCCATCCACAAAAAGAAAAGTAATGGATTGATCATTGTATGTGCTCAAGGAAACAGAACATTCTGCAACAAGTGAAAATCTTGTCATTAAGAATTCAAAAACTTGTTCTCAGAAACAATCTTTTAGCAATTTTTAAAAAGCATCTCCTCAAAGTTGTTTTGTTTTGTTTTTCAATTTGAGCTACACTTTGTCCATTCCTGTTGGAGAGATGAAAACCTTTGGTGCAAGCTTAACATATCTCAAAGGCTGATGTGTGCCACTGAATGGGATGAAAAATGCTAATTTCTTGCACGAAGGCCAGGGGAGGCCATGTTAGCGTGTTTATGGGAGGTTTTGGTGGGGAGAATGAACCTGGAAAGGTGACAGATGTTGCCTGAGGAAACCTTGCTTCTGGACTTCCCATTCACTAGGGGACTGTGGGCAAGAGGGACTGTATTTAAATAGACGTGGATAAACAAATACCCACTTCCAACAGTCTTGGAGAATACAGGCATGAGCCCCACTCTGTCACTTGGCTAAATAACATAAACAGAGCAGTACTCCCAACTTTCTAAAATGTCCCAGAACACATAGAAAATGATAATATTTCTACAGCATGCTGGGGTAAACTGGAGTAGATTTAGGGACTACCTATCTGGGTCCTGGAGAAAACAATTCTATTATCTTTGCATTATAGAATTATGCTAAGAAAAAATATACAAAATCTTAAGGAGAATGTTAAATATTGAATTTGTATAAGAACTTGTAAAACAAACTGATTTAAAAATACTTAGTAAGAAATTTCAATATGCTTCTGGGAACTTAAGACATTTATACCAGGAATAATGCTTGAAATGGCAACCAGCAATTCCCAGTCAAGTTTTCTTAATGATCTCTTCACTTCTTGACAGTCACCATCAACTTGGACTTTATTTACACAAGTAGGTGATGCAATTTAAAACCATTTTAACAGCTATTTTAAATGTTTAAGAGTCTGGGCCAGCCGAGTGGCGTGTTGGTTAAGAACTGCCTTGGGATGCCGGAGGGCCCCGTTTCAGATCCCACATATGAGGGCCAGTGACACTGCCCTCTGCAGCTAAGATGGTGAACCGCAGCTCGACCTGGGGTTGGTCTGCAGTGGGTCGCCAGAGATGGTGTAAGCTGCAGCTCCCTGTTGCAGTGGGCTGCCATTAGCTACCATGTGTAGCAGGCAGCCAGCGTGAGTGGCCAGCAGCCACCGTGAGCAGCCGTCCAGAGGCCAGAGGCTGATCTGCCTCACCCAGGAAAAGTGCAATGATGGTGCCAGCTTGGGCCAGTAACGCAACATTCTCCACAACTAGACTGAAGAACAAAAGGACAGCAACTTCTCTGTTCCCCTTCCCTCGATTTCCCAGAGCTGTTCCCCTCCCCCAGTTCCCCAATAAAATCTTTAAAACAATAAAAAAATAAATGTTTAACAGTCAAAATTATTCTTAAAAAATGTAATAGCTCTTTCTTTCATTGTCAAAATGTTGAAATTTGGGGGAATAATATATTTCCCCCAGGAATAATGTAAATATATGGGATTCCAATCCATAGCAAGCATTTCAAAATAATAATGGAGTGCTAACTAGAGAATGCACATGCATTGTTAGAGCAGATACCCTGCACCTATTTTGTATACCACCAAATGGGCACATCCGTGTCACATGGACAAATTTTGTTTTGTTTTTGTTTTGGTGGAGACAGCCTCACCTTGGAGACCCAGAGGGTAGAAGTTTCGATATACATGAAGACAGATTTGTGGCTGCTTCCTGGAGTGGCACTTGCCGGGATCCTGTGTCTTACCTCCCTCCTCATCCCCACTCCACCCCTGTGACCAGACACACCTTGGATACTTGAAGAACCATCATTTGCTCTAGTACATTTCCTGACCATAGGTACATCAAAGGTGAAGTCTACAGACTTATTCAGGAACCTCGGACTGTCAGACAAAAACAAACGTTGCTCCTTGTACTTTCCAGCTGCAGGACAGGGGTAGGGGTAGAAGTGAAATGTCAGTCCCCACTCTGCCAAGACCTCTTCCCCACTCCCCTTACCCCTGCTTTGAAGATTCCCAGTCAAGGTTGCTTGCTGACAGTGCTGATTTGCCCCAGGGTTTCGGCCACCCCATGGTCTGAAGGGATCAATACCTCCTGGCACATTACACACAGAAGGACACATCCATGGAAGTCCAGGTGGAATAAAACTAGCCACCCATGGTCTCAGCACCCAAAAGGCAACCACTATTAACATTTTAGTTCACTTCCTTTAAATGAAAAAAATCACTGAGATACTTGCTTTATTGCTATGGTCTGGAACCAAACTCATAATATCTCCAAGGTATGTCTGTATATATAATTTTATATCCTCTGATTTTACTTAACATTATAACATAACCATTGCTCCCATGCTATTAAAAACTCTTTATATGCCTTTTTAAAATGGGCTAAAAGTTAGTTTATCATCTTTACTCTTTTCCAGAAGGAAAATTTGGGAGAGGAAACAAAAATTATATACTTATATGTGGTAACTGAAGGCAAATAGGTGCCCTATATACTATTTTGAAGAATTACCAGGAAATATAGTTTCCCTTACCTGTTTTTCGTGAATGCCCGTTGGTGGTTTCTTTCCTAAAATAACAGGCCTTTTTTATGATGAGGCCAGAGCGTAGCTGCATAAAGTACATCTGGCAAACTTCTTTGGCCTTCTGTAGGGGTTCTAAACAAGTGAAAATATTGTGATACTGTTTTGTTTCATCTATCTTTATCCATTTACAAATCCTTTTACAAGCCCTGAATGTAACAGACCAAGAAAGCAACTACAGGTCTACTACAATATCTTATCAGGAACCTTGGGGCCAGTAGTATTTCAAAATTCAGAGTGTTTTAGGTTTTAGAATGGTCATGTAAAGTATATATTGTATATATGTAACATTCCAAGCATGGACTAGGGCAGTAGTACCCCAGGATAAAAAATTACTAATTTTGTAGTGAAACAGGAAAATGTACATAAAATGAAATAAAAACCTCATGTTGGTTCAAGTTAGCCTTTAACTGTCAACTGAGTTCAGGTCATATTTTACTGCCAAATGAGTTAAGAAAAACTTTAGATCTTCAGAAAAAATTTTAGTTTTCAGAATTCCGTATTAGGGAATGTGGATTTACATTGTACATTTATCAATCTTTGCATAACTGAGGGGGAACTCTTATGATCATATGATGTCTGTAATCTTTTCTACTTATCTAGAATACACTTTTAATAATATTGAAGAGATGTCTGGTATCTATAAAGGTTATTGATTTAAAAAATAGCTATCATTTACTAATTGTCTACAGTAAGCCAACCACTGTGCTTACAATTTTACATACTATTTCATTTATTCCTTCACAGTAATATAGTGAGGAAGGTATTATCCTCCTCACTTTACAGATGATGATCTGAGGTTCTTAGCAGTCATGACACAAACCAAGGTTACAGGTCTGGTGAGAAGTTGTGACTCAGTTGTACCTAGTATTACGAGTAAAGCTACTCTTTCCACCTACCTTCATCTAAGAAAATACTTCAGTGCAATTTTAGGTACTAACAGAATGCAAACTAAAATTAAATCAGTTGAAGTAAAAAAATTAATCAATGATTCAATAGTTTTAATTTCATTTAGCCAAAGAAAAATTAAAGTCTCAAGTAAAAAAATTAAATTTGGTATTTGGAAATCATCAAAAGCTGTTCAGTGTCAAATAGAAAAGAAAGTTGTAACACTTGAGTCATATGATCTCAACTTTCAACATTATAGTAAATGAATTATCTAGCAATTTGTACAATATAGCCAAATTTCAATTATTCACAGTAATTCAGAAAATGAAAATAATTACTTGTGACTTTGAGATCTAGTCTAAGATCTTTTTTTATTCTCCAGAAGATTTGCCTTTCTAGTATGTTTTTCAAAGTCAAGTAGAATAAACATTTGTAAGCTACTATTTGAAATTATCTATATCTTGCCTCCAATTTAAATATATTCAACTTAAGTATATTCAATTTAAGTATATTCAACTGTCTGAATAGGGCAAGACCACTTGTTATACTCACATCCACCCTGGGACTCCCTAACATTGCTTCACAATTCAGAAACACCAATTATGGTATCTCACAGTTATATAGTGCTTTTACAGTTACAAAGATAATTTACAAAGTTATGTCAGAGTCAGCGTTCAACTTGGTTTCCTGACAACTAATTTAATACAATATTTTATATCAACTATATCACATTCTCTCTTCAGGGCTAAAAGGCATCAGAAGATCCTATAAGCATACTCCTGCCTTATATATGCTTATCAGTATCCCATGGGGACATGGCATCCCACAGGGACATGACAGGTATGTCTGCTATTGAGAATGGGCTCTATGGGGAGCAGGATATGGCTCTTGGGTAGTTAAAAGTGAGGGTCATGATATTGAGGAAGCATTATGGATTCAAAATAAGAGACGGGCTAAAGATATGGATGTACAGGCTAACATCTAGTGGGACAAACACTAAGTATAATTTATTGGGGGTGACTGCAGTTGAAGTATTAAAAGTACTTTACATTGGGAGTATTTGACAAAACGTATACTTTGGTGTTCAGGGCAGCTGGAAATGAGTGAGGGTTGTGTTCTCAAGAGAAAAGCATGAAGCTCGCATGGTCATGGGGACTTTGTAGGAGAGGGTGCTCCACTAGTATCAAAGGGCCAGGTCAAGCTTACGTAAGGTCTGTTGTCACTTCCTATAAAGTTTGCTGTCTAAGGATGGTGTCTTACTATGGCTTTTAGGGAAATAACTAATTTCATCATAGCAATAGCATGATGAAATTCCTCAGGCATTTCTGGTGAGTAAGTGGGAAAAGACCTAGAAATCTTAACTGTAGTTTTGCCACCGAGAGCCAGACTATGGCTGACAGGAAATAGAGAAGTGAATCATCTTTCATTTCTTCCCCAAACGCTTATTTCACCATGGTGTTTCCTCACTGCTTGCTACCCTTCACCGGTCTGTGGCATTTGACTTTGGGGATTGCATCCTTATTTGAACCCTTTTCCCCTTATTGTCATGCCATCTGTCTCCTTAGGTTCTCCTTGCTTCCTTCTGATCAGTCATCACTGTTTCTTTGTTAGTTCTCCCTCCTTTGCCTGATAAAATGTTGGTGTTCCTCAGGATTTTGTCCTTTGTCTTTTCCTCTCACTCTAGACTTTCTTCCTGAGCAATCTTACTTCAGTCATATTTTATATGCTGATGACTCTCCAGACTGTAACTCTCCCCTTAGTCTCTCTCCTGAGCTTTATCTCTGTTGCTTTTTCTCCACAAGGCATTTTGACTTCAGCTCCCTTCAAGCGTCTCTGCCTCTATCTCTGTAGAGCATTCTGAATTCTGGATATCTCTACCTGGATGACCTACACTTCCTCCAAGTTCAAATATACTTAAAACAAAACAAAACAAAACAAAACTTTATCTTTTCCTACCCCCAATATATTCCTCCTGAATTCCCTATCTTGAAAAGCAGTACCACCATTCACCATTGTTTGCTCAATTCTTAAATCAGAAAGTTGAGAATTATCCATTTGTTCCCTCTTTTGCCGTCTTTTAACTCATTCAGTCTGTCATTAAATCTTATTGATTTCACCTTCTGAATGTATCTGAAATTTAGTCTTTCCTTTCCTTTCTGTTGTCTTAGGTCAGGCCCTCATTATCAGTCCCCCAGATGAATGTAGTAGGTTTTTGACCAGTTTCTGTTTCTACTCTTGCCATCTCACTCTTTCTTCATACCACCGCCAATGTGATCTCTCTAAAATAAAAACATCATGTCATCCCCCCCTGTTAAACACTTTCAGTGGTTCCTTGCTGTCCACAGGATAAAGTCAAAGCTCCTTCACTGTGACAGAAGATCTTCCATGGACAGACCAAAACTAAAGGGGGGTGATCTCTACGCAGTTCTATCCTCCACTGTTTCCATGCAGGAAAATGAGCTCAGTGTTGCTGGATCTTCATATTTTTTGAGAAAAACCACATATTCAGATTTTTATGCAAGATCGCCTACTTTTTAATTGTTGCCTCAATTTAAAAACATCAGTAACACTATTCAGGCCAAATAAAATACTTCTGCACGATGGGTCTGTCTCAAGACTCCCATATTGTGACCTCTGGCTATACACAAAAGAAAGCTGGATTGTCAGGGAAAGGAAAGGGTAGATGGATGTGGAGGAGAGGAAGTAGCAGAGGAAAATGGCCTGACCCTGGGGCATAGCTTCCTAGAAACTGGGAACAAGATGAGTTTAGGAAGGGGCTTTCCTCCAGCTCATGAAGTCCTATACCCTGTTGGCACTAAAGGTGAAATGCCCTGCTAGTGACCAGAACTCACAGGGGTCCTGACTGTGTGGATACCTGCAGTGGTCAGATAATGAGTTTTGTGGCTTTGTGAGTTGTGGGTTGTGTCAGGCCCTGCTAGCTCAAGGGAGGAAAAGGAATTAAAATGAGCTTTCATGTTTTCTTGCTTGGAGGCTCAGAGCAGTTTATTTAGAAAAATATGTGACATTTCTTGCACCTTGAGTTTTGAGAAGAATTTTTAACTGCCACACACCTCACAGCTATCCATTGAGTTTTTGGCAATGAGTTTAAATAATGACAATTTTAGTGTTAAATTGAGACAATAATATTGAAAAGGAAGATCTGCTAAGGGACAATGAAAATAATGTGATGCATTCCAAAGTCATATAAGTGATTTGGAGGTTATCACTATTTTTTTATATGGTGTAAATAAGCCACTGCACTCTTTAAAAAGGAGTTGCATTTTAATTTGAGTTACATTTTAATTTTTGCATCACTCTGATGTAAACTCCAGCCTACTTCCTTATTCCAGTATCTTAAAGAGCCCGTGTCTCCTGAGGTACAAAGAAAATACATTCTTTATTAAGAGGGAATTTGAGGATGCAGAGTCACTTCCACTGAGTCACTGTTTCTGCACAGAGCATTTTGACTCAGACTCAGATAAAAAGACAAACTTAACTGTGATTTCCTAACCATTTAGGAATCACGGTCAAATTAGTGTTTTCCCAGGTTACCAAAGAACAGTGTGAGTATGCTGGAGATTTAGGGAGGAGAGAAGTGATAAATTTTAACACTGTTTTCTCATCTAGACTCAAAGATGTTCAAGGAAATGGAGAGGAGCCCAAAGGTCAAGGATACACAGTCCCCTCCATCATTCCTCATCCTCTAATTTTGCTCTAGTCTACTTTTGTGTCACTGCTCCTGTATGAAAAGCATGAGTGTAAATTTGCATAATTCTTTCCTAGGATAGATAATATAAGGATCAAAGAGGTATATAGCTCTTTCATCTTAAGACCATGGCTACTACCTGATTTTATTTATTCTTCAACTTATTCCAAACCCTTTGAGTTTGCAACTGGATAGACTTGAGCATCATTTGGTCAATTCTGTTTTATTTTGGGCCTTGATTATTTAAATATCTTCACTTATTATTCTCCCCTTTATCATAAACAACAAGTTAAGACCATAAACTTGATACACCAAAGGTCTTAATAAATGTTTGTTGAATGAAAGTGGATCAGTTTAAATTTGGTTTGTTAATCTGGGAAAAAGTTTTGGGGATTTGGTGGCAGGAGGTGTGGCTAGAAAGAAGGGATTGATATGAAGGGCTGTAATTATGTTTATCACTATTAGCAGGTTTGAATTATCTGAGCCATTCCTGTCCTGTGATCTATCAAATAAGCAAAAGTTGGCTATATATTGTCTGTTTAAAGCCAAAGATTACTTTATTACACACTTATGGGCCATCCCTTTCAATTTCAGCTCTTATATTCTTAGTAAGTTTTATTAAGGAAGGCAACATGTATGAAAATTGGAATAATAAATATTTGATAACAGGTAAAAACTAGAGTGTAAACAATCAGAAAATTTTAAGGCCTTACTTCTCAACCTGGGAGATTTTACCAGGGCTTTGCCTGAGGAGCTGCTCATCTTTGCTGAGGAAATTTTGGTGGTTGAATATTTCATTTCAGGCTTCATTTTTCAGGCTTCAGTTGAGTTAAAATATAGTATTTCAATTGTCTCAGCTTGAAAACAAACAAACAATTGTAATTAACTCAATAGAAAATTGATAACATAGCCACCTAGAGAAAATAATTATGTCAGTAGAATCTGAACATAGTATTCTAAATATATATCTATGCTGGAATATAGTCACAGGACAAAAAGAACTGCACAGAAATATTAAATGTTACTTAGTGGGTTTATTATTAGTCGTAATATTGGTATTGGAATTCTGGGACTGTTTTGTTATACGATAAAGCAAATAAGTAGATGTTACAGGATTTTCACTGTAGGAGAATGGAGATATAAATATAAAATAAATGAAGCCAAGGGGAAAATATCCCTGTAATATTAAATTTGAATCAGCAGTATCAGTGTGCACATATCTAAGTTTCTAAATGTTTTCTCCACTAAAGGAAACCAGGACTCTAGATATGGGCTGGGAAAATAGAAGTGAACAGTGAATATCCTGTTGTTCCAGAAAGCAGTGAGTCAGTCAAAATCTAGTGAGGTTGTGTTAAAAGGGTCTCCTGCTGGCCTAAAATTTGGCACAATTTGAGCAACAAAAAGAACAATGATGGTAATTGACTATAAATCATTTAATGAAAAAGGAAACCCACAAGTCCATAGCACTTTCTCAAGAAAGAATGCATGAAGGATGTATTCATTACAGAAGAAATGATAAAATTAGAAAAATCACCATCTTAACAGTTCCCAGTTATACTGATTCAGGCAAGGATCATCAATGGATGCTGTACCTTGATTATAAAGCTGGGTTTCAAGACCCTATTAAAAGACTATGGCACTTTCCACAATTTATGACAGAGAACTCCATATTCTTTCAGTAGGGTACTGCAACCTAGCTTCATCATCAGGGTGAGGCACTGGTGCTGTGGTTTGTGGAAGGAGCAAGACTTCTTCTCCAGTCTTAAATTCTCTCTGACGCTGCCTAAAATTCTACTAGTAGTTATTGCTTCTTTTATTAAGCATTGCCCTTTTTTTTTTATAAAATCCAAATTATCCCAGGAGTGGGTACCATTTAAAACTCTTATAAACTTCATATTGGTCAGCTCTTCTAGCAAGGTAATGAAGGAGCATTGAGTATCTGGGTGAGAGGACTCATTGGAAGATAAATTCCATGCACGTTTATTTTTGTCCCTGGACGACCCCCAGTAGGCTGAAATTCCAAATTTTCTTGTCTAGATGGAACTAGAATCTTACATTCAGCCATCCTATGTACAGCCAGTCTTGTGAGCAAAATCCTTCAGTGGTAGAGCAGTTGAAGACTCCCTCTTCTGCCCCAGGGGTAAACATTATCATCACAGAGCTTGAGGACCTCACATCAACCCTTATCTTCCTTTGATTTTCCCACCTTTACTGATCAAGAACACTTAGAAGCAGAGAACCTTAGACATCATTTTCCTAAGTCCTAACTTTATAGATGAGCAGGTTAAGATTGAAAGATTAAGTGTCTTGCTCAGGATCACAAAAGCAGAACTGGGACCAGAATCTAGTCTCTTGACTTCCATTTGAATGCCAGAGCTTCCCTATCCTGTCTCCTCTTCTCCCCCATCCAAGTGTAGGAAGAAAATAATCAGAACTGGGAATTTCTGGGGCCAGCTGAGTGGCGCGTTGGTTAAGAGCTGGCTTGGGACGCCAGAGGGCCCCGGTTCGGATCCCACATATGAGGGCCAGTGACACTGCCCAACTAGACTGAAGAACAAAAGGACAGCAACTTG